CGATTCGTGATTTGATTCGGCAGCGAGATATTCGATTCGAGCATTATACAAGTTAATACTATACAACTAATTCGAGTGCCAGTGTTTTGTTTACTGTTAATAACGAGACAGGAATGGTTCCATTTTGGACCAGCACCTCCTCCAATGTGACGTTCATATAAGGGCAAAGTAGGCGCTCCGTCAAACGAGACTCTTGTGGTAACATGAGATTTGTAGCACTGCGGGAGGAAGCGTGTGTACAGATAACGTCGTTGGGACTGGCGCACAGTGGGACCAGGAATATTTTTATAAATGTGAGAATGAACAAATGCAATCAATAGACGCTAATTTTAGCCAATACCTGACCTTCGACCTCATTCACCGTGATTGGGTACATTGAATTTGTTAAATTGAATTTGATTGGCTTATTCGAATTTTGAGTCTCACGTGTCATATCCGAGTTTGCGATGCCGTCGCCGAAGCCCATTGCCAAGCGTCAACAACGCCGATACGTTGTGCGACAGATTCGTATCTTCCTCCGCATGTATGCTCTGCTTGGGCCATGCTCGAGCCTCTGACTCTTTGCCAAGTCGTACCATATCCCCGAAGCAACATTCCGACGGTGGGTCGCGAACTCGTCCAGCTACCTGGCGAAAAAGACCCATGGTCCGTGGGCAACTCTTCATGGCAAAGGACGCCTGGAATCTGTCGAGTTCTCAAGCGACTTGGTCGCATTCATGGAGTCCGTGCGGGACGGTGACTCCGACTCTTTGCCAAGTCGTACCATATCCCCGAAGCAACATTCCGACGGTGCGTCGCGAACTCATCCAGCTACCTGGCGAAAAAGACCCATGGCCCGCGGGCAACTCTTCATGGCAAAGGACGCCTGGAATCTGTCGAGTTCTCAAGCGACTTGGTCGCATTCATGGAGTCCGTGTGGGACGGTGAACACTTCCTCACGACTGCACATCTGGTCACCTGGATGAAGTCGCACCGGCCGCTTTGGCTCAAAGCGTACATGGATGGCAAGCTCAATGATAACAGCATACAAGAGCCTGCTCCAATGGTGCCTGAAGTTCGCGAACCATCATGGATACTCCCATCGAGTGCCGTGCGCTGCCAAGGCCACCCAGTCAGAGCTTCAAGTCGTACAAGAAGCATTCTCGGCGGAGTTCTTCTCAAAGTTTGGGCACCTTCCACGCTGCGAGTGGATCAACGTCGACGAAACCCCGGTGTACTACGACATGCCACCGGGCAAGACACTGGCAAGTCATCGCGAGTCAAAGAGACGCAGAAGCACTCCGACCGGATTACGGTCGTGCTGTCAATCCGGGCAAACGGTACAAAAGATACGTCGTAAAATGTTCTAAACTGCCGTAGGGGAAAAAATGCCCATGGTGATCATCGTCAAGGGCACT